TAATAGCAGTTAGGCTGCAGCAATGTTGCTAGCTTTTGGACACTTTTTAAATGCATATGTAAATATGTACACAAGCACAAATACCGAAATCTGTCTATATGCAAAATAATGTTGAATTAATGCTTTCAAAAATGTTACTTTATTGCACATATTTAGCAGGAGCTTGTGGAGCTGCTGTCTATGCGTTAGCATGAGTGGATGCAATTTTTTCTATTTTACCGCAACGCGCCAAAAAATGTGCTATGAAAGACAATACAATGCCTGCGAGATGCTGGGAAGTGATTTACGAGCATATTTTCAGGCGCATTGACATGAACAAAAGCCAGCATTGAGCCATACTCTATTTAAAACTATGTGAATAAATTGCGCTTCCGGGTGGCAAAGGAGTCAATTGTATGCAATTTAGCGGCGCTTAGACAGACTACTTTGGCAAAATCATTCGGCAGGACAATGACATGTCGCAGGCATTGTTATGAAAATGTCGATGCCCGCCGATTGGCGATTAAGTTATTGTTGTTTATTTGGCTTTCGAAGTCAGCGAGCATTTTTGTTTATTTACAAAAAAAAAAACGGAAATGTGTACCTACCAAATTAAAAATTAATAATCAAAATGAATAAACTCGATGTTGCAATATTCTAGCATACAATGTCCGACAGACAACATATTGCGACAATGTTTTGAATCACAATATGAATAGGTATCAGTGCATTAAGCGCGCTTCAGTGGCTTGTGTGTACATATGTATGTATGTATAATACACAGCTGCAAGTGGATGGTTGCACTTATTGCCACAATTCCAGCGCTCGCAATATAAAGCAATGCACTAAAAGAAAAATACTTTATCTTCCATTCATATTTTGCTATACGTCCGAGCAATTTGGCTTCCTACTCTGTCCTTACCCCCAGTCATTTAAGAGCAGCACAGCACAAGTATATATGTGTATGTAATAAAAAGCATATGGCATTCGTGGCAAATGTTGCATGCAACATGACTGCAATGAAATTACTGGACACGAAAAGCTGTAACTGCGGCAAATATTACTTAATTGTTGGTCGTGTCGTATGCGTTAGGCCTTTGCGCAGTCCAGCTGTACTTCATGCGCTAGCAGCGGTCAAGGCAGGAGCAGCGACGACTCCTTTACGTTTCTTTTCATTTTGTTTACGAAATTTTATTGACTTTATTTGCGCCCAACGAAGCGACAGACATTTCGTAATGTTATGGCATTTTAAGATTGTCGTGTGAGTATTGCAAGTGACCTCCAGTATTTAATGGCAAGCAGAATCTCAGGAACTCGATGAAACTTATTAGGATGTCTCATATTAATTTCAGATAGAAATTTATTCGAGTCAATTACGTTTGTAATTGAGCTACCATTCTTGGTGTTCACAGACAGTTAGCTGCTGTAGCTTGGAATGGAATTGTACGTGGCCGGAAAACCCAAAAAGGACAATTTTCCAAGCACTCAGGCCTATAGTACTTAAGACCTAAATACAGGATTTAGAAGAAGAGGATATATGTGTGGGTGGAGTGGGTTCGCAGATCACTTCATCATTATCTGAGAACGAATTTTGTTACCAGCCAGTCCGGTCTTTCCAGGAAACACTTGGTTGTTTTACAGCTTTCAATACCACTTCAACGGCTCTCAAGAGTTTCATTTATAATATCCTTGATATATCCGATCTTTCCCGCTTTGCTTGACATTTTCGGTCTTTGAGCAGTCGGTATAGAAAGATATCACCAAGCTTTGCATTGTTCCCTTGTAGAAAATCTAACGTCGTATATACTTTCTTCCAAAGGAGACTCAGGTGCCAAACAAAAATGGTATTGCTGTGAAAACTTTCCAAACAACTCACTGTGTCCGAAACTCTGATCATCGTGCCACAATCTAAAGGAGTGTAATCAACACATCATTTTCATTGACTTCTCTTGGATTAATAAATCCAGAGCTGGGTAATGCGACAAGTGACTAAAACCCTGTTCTGACGTTGTGCTCATGGCGCCCGTAATGCCTATACACACGCTCCTTTGTAGCCTGTTGAACACAGAGTACGTGACGATTGGTCTTACTAAAACTGTGTATATCCAGAATGCCATAAGCGATCTCAGACGCAAGGTCTAACCAAAGGTTCTCCGACACTGTCCGAAAACTTTCAGCATTCGATTTACCTTCAGCTCGACGTGAGTTTTACATGGCAGCTTCGTATCTAGAGTTACCCCTAGATATTCCCCATCCATGGAAAGACTTAGGTTTACGCCTCTAAGCACTGGTAGGTTGAGACCTTCCAATTTTCTTTTCCGCGTAAGCAAGACTACGCCGGTATTGCTAGGATTGACAGCAATATCCTAAAAAGTGCACTATTCATCAATCTTCCACAGGATTCGCTGTATCTTATTACAGCCCTTCGTGAAAGATTTATCTGATGACAGTACACAAATCTCATCCGCGTAAGCTTGGATGTGAACGAAGTCATACATTTCCATTAGTAGGCAGTCCACTACCAAACACCACAAGATAGGTGAAAGCAACCCGCTCGGAGGGCATCCTCTTCCAACCTCTGCCATGTTAGAAAGGACCTGGTGATAGCAGGATAATGATTTTGCTGTATACGGCGCCGCTGTGCCTTCGGATGGACTGCTAGCATTACCTTTCTCACATAAGATTTAAGAAGTTTCTTTGTCTCAAATTCACTCCACCCCAAACGACGCCGAGGTGACTTACCCAATTTGTTCTGATCTAAAATTTTGCGTCAAATTCACTCATCATAGCTTTACGGGGATGTAAAATTTTTGCATACCTAACTATGTGGCATCGTCGAGTCAGCTTCCTTTCGTAATGTCAAAAGCGGCTTTAAAATCGACGATAAGATGGTGGGATTGCAGGGTTTTATGATTTACCAAATTTCGAAGTTTTCTTCGACTCGCCCTTTTTGTGAGGCACCTCAATATTCACACAGGTAGGTACAAATGTGTATGTGTGTAAAAGATATCTGCCGTGCGCATGCATCTATGTAGCAATACATTGCACTTACTAGCTTGGGTACAGTGTGACTGAAGCCCAGCTGCCATCTATTTACTGCATTTTCACGATTGAGCGTACCCAACTACCCAGCCACAGTTGGGCACGCGGTCGCTCATACGCGCCGTTGCCGCAGAACTGTCATGCGTGTGTAATGAGCATTGTCCACCGCTGAAAAAGAATATAAGCGAACTTTTTGTTAAACAACTTATTTCATATTTCTTTTATATGTTTCGGCCTTCTGAAAATAGACTATTTTAAAACCCTAGCCCGCATTCTGATGCAACCCATAGCAAGCTTGGAAGAATTTAGTCCATTCGTAAAGAAATTTCCAAATGAGTCTGATTCCCTATTGGGCAGTCGATGCGACGTTGACGTTAACTACGTTCATCACTTTTATAAGTATCCTTCTGTGCCATATGACTTTCTCCGCACCACAAGCAGCCTAATTGCCCAAATGCACAGCTCGCGACGAGACGCACTCAACTTCACTTTGCGGTATCGACAGCGGCAGTGTGTAAGTGGTTGTTGGTCAGTGAATGTGATTGTTGTTGTCACTACCAAGGCCATCACACCCACCACCACTGCCGTCATCCATTAGCAACTTAGTTACTAAATGCTGTGTCTCCCATGGTGGTCACTGCACAATAATTGCATACTGACGACTCATATGTGAAGGCAAATGTGAAAAGAAAAAAAGAGAAAACGAGGAAAACAAAGCCAACCAAGGGAAGAGCATAAATTAAAATAGAAAATAATTGCGCAGATAGAGAAGAGCACATAAAATCGTTGCCACCGCGCTGGAGTTACCCACACCACGTTGAAGTGTACAGAAACGGTGCATCAGTGATCCGTATAGAATGCGAAAAAAGGAAGAAAAATAAGGCTGGTAGGTGCGATTCGGCATTAGAGTGTAGAGTTTACTAATGCGCTTTACATTTTTCCACTTGTCTGTGGGCGTCTTACGGTACATTGGTTAAAATGTGAATGTTTTTGTTTTGCGTTTTTTAAGTGTTGTCTTCCAAAGCTAAATATTTGCTCCAAATTAACGCTCAAATGCGTTTTCTTTTTTAATTTTACTTAATTTTTATTTTTAGCTTTTATTGTTTTGAAAATAATTTTTTTTAATTCGTTTAACTGTTACGAATTTATATTTTTTTCTCTTTTTTTATTAAATTACTTTTATTTTCCTCTTAATTTTTGGATTCTATTTTAAACAGAAGAATTTTTTTTCATTTAATTTTTAGGAACTTATTTTTCTTTTTTAAATATTCTTTACCTTTGTTTATTAAATTTTCTTTTCATTTTTACATTTTGTTGTTTTAAATAGGAACAGGTTTTTAATATCATTTAATTTTTAAAAACTTACTTTATTAATTTTTATTCAAAAAAGGCGGAGTTTATCAATTCGTCGGAATATTGTATTTTTTTATATATGTTACCGCATAACTTTGGACTACGTTAACCGATTTCTATCATTCTTCTTTTATCGGAAATGTTTTTAAAGAAACGGGTGTACCTCAGAGGTGGTCCCTTACTAACTTTTAATTTAGTTGGATCATCAAGAAATGAACGGTATTCTAAAATTTTTATAGGAGAATTGTAGTCGGTTTTGTTTTTTGCCTAAAAATATCAAAGAAGAACCAAAAAAAAAAGTTTATTTCTTTCTAAAGGAGCGAAGTAATTGCCATGTAATTGAGTCATGATTTAAAACATTTTTAATGAGCTCACTTACTTTTAAGTAGAACACAAATGGACATTCTCACATACATATGTATGTATATACATTTACATACACTTGTGAACACCGATGTCCTTGCTTGCTTTTAAATGAATCACTTTCATTGCACTCACATAAAAGCTCACAAAAAGTGCTACACATATCCTAATTCGACAAACGCAATTGAATTTTGATTCCTTGTGATTTGATTTCGATTAGCTACAATTAATTTCACTTGCTGCTTTCAGTGTTAATTGATGGCGTGGACACGTCCACCATGACACGGGACCAGCTGGAGCAGTTTGCGCTCAAACTGAAGGAGGAAATGGAACGCGAACGTGAAGAGAGAAACTTCTTTCAATTAGAACGTGATAAAGTTCGCACATTCTGGGAGATTACCAGAGGACAATTGGGTATGCGGTGACTTTTTAAAACAAATTCATTCTTTCTTTTTATTTTTTTGGTTTAATTCAAATAACACTTTAAATTTTCCAAAAAAAAAAAAAACAGAGGAAACCCGCTATGAGGTCCGTCATAAGGATCATGAAGTGGAGATGGCACAGGAGCTGGCTGACATCGATACCAAACACATTGTGCAACAAATGAAGCATCTACAGTATGAAAACCAGAATAAAATTGGTGAAATACGCGCTGAGGCAATGACACAACTGAAGCTTGCCCAAGAAGATCATGTGGCGCAGGAGCAGGAGTTGCTCAAGGATAAACGCGAGCTGCGCCGATTGCTGCGCGAACGAGAGGAAACGCACGAATTGCAAATTCAGCAGCTAAAAATGAAACACAACGATGAGATGGCGTGAGTAGATTTTGGATTTGTTGGTTTTCTTTTTCAGGGTATAACAAACTCCAGCACAGCATCTAAAGCTTTAAGCTTGATCTCGATTTCTTGTTGAAGCAAAAAATTTAGCTCATATTGACCTTCCGCAAGAAGTTCCAAAACAGAGCTGAAAAATCTAGTAGCAGATATTTTATCTTTTATTAATTAGAACAGGCTTGTAAAGGACGAAGATGGTCCTTGCACGATGGCAGGGGTTGGGGGAGAAAACCCTCTGCACTATGCAGATCGAAGTTTTGCAAGGGTTGGGCGCATCTCCGGAGTTGTGCTCCTAAAACAGCATTAACAGATCGGAAGTAGGTTGAGAGCGACTCCCTTTTAATTCCGTTTATGGCCTGAACATATGCTCTCGGGTCCAGTGGTTGTTTTATGGACCTCTGGACCACGTCCGTCAGTTCGTATAGATGCCTTCTGACGTGCCAGAAGTAATGTTTAAGAACATCACAGTCTTCTTGGCAAACTGAAACTCCTTATTGATACTATTTTGGCGGCGGCTTTTAGATTGAGAAGAAATCCTGCTCTTAGGAGACTATTCCGCAGTTAGTTATGGGCACGACACTGGCAGAAGATACATTCCACTGCCTCTTCTTTCGTTCCGTAACTCCGGTAGATTTTTCTGTTTAAAGTCGTTCGAAGCCAATAGCTTACCGTCTTCCTTCTTGATTGATAGGAGAAACTTCATGCGGTTGATATCATGCATTCTACACATAATCCTAAACGCTTTTGATCTTTGCGCTTTGATCTAAAACTTGAACACCTTCCGAACATGTCGGCCTCCCATTTAATCGCTTGCAACGAGATCGGCACTTCCTCCATCAGCGTACAGGTCGCCTTCTTTGGCAAGTCTGTCGGCCTCCTCCTTGCTCGATACACCGGTGTGCACCGGAACCCGGCACAGATGTTCGTCTGTGCCAATATGTAGTGCATATAAAGTTGCCCTGCCCTTCGCCAAACTTCCTAAGTTAGTGCTGCGCGATAGTAGCGCCTTTACCGCAGCCTGACTGTCGAAATAGAGATTCTCCCGTTTTTGTTATGCTGCTTCGAGTTATTTATTAGGTTGCTTCTCATTAGCTCCGTCGCCACGTGAATTAAGAACCGATTTCAGAAACTGTAAGCCACAGACTGTATCAGAGACCAATCACTGCCGCTGTCGCTTTCTGAATATTATAGGAAATGAACTACACAGAAAATCCTTTGCTTGTTTTCTCCAATAATTGTTTTCTTTCTATCACCAGCCAGGCGCGCATTCAGTTCCAGCGAGAAGCCAAGGACATGGAACTTTTGCACGAAGAGAAGATGAAGGCGCTGAAAAACGAAATCGAGCTTGCCTATCGCATGCAAATGTTCGAAGTGGAAGAACGAAAGAACACACAGATTCAACGATTGATCGAGAGCCACGACACCGCCTTCAACGACATGAAGAACTATTACAACGACATCACGCTGAACAATTTGGGACTAATTAGCAGTTTGAAGGATCAACTTGAAGTGTTGCGCAAACAATCGGAACGCAGTGAGCGCACCGCCACCGAAGTATCCGCTGAGAACCGCAAATTGAAAGAACCACTAGAGGCGGCACAAGCTGAACTGGCCGACATGCGTCGCAAAATGGAGCACTTTGAGCGCGATCGTAGTCAGCTGGCACGCCTTAAAGTACGCAACACATACATTGAAAAGCAACTGAAGGCGCTTACATGGGAAACGGAGACGCTGCTACTTCGTAACGACACCCTCAAGAAAGAACGTGAAGAACTCAAAGCGAAATTCGATGAAGTCGTTACGGAGTTGCAACAGAAGACCGGCTTAAAAAATGTGCTGCTCGAACGCAAGATCAGCATGTTGGAGCGTGAAAATGAGAAACGCGATTTATTGTTGAAGCAGACACAAATGATGTGCGGTGCTACCGGTGAAGCCTCAAAAAGTCTGGAGAAGCAAGTCAGCTCAGTACTGGATGAGAAAAACAAAATAATCGAAGACTTGCGCTACGAATTGGTGCGTGTCGTTAAGGCGCACGACGACCTACTCGCCACATACGAATCCAAGCTGGTGCAGTTCGGCATACCACAAGACGAATTGGGCTTCGAGCCGCTGCGCTTGTCCGAGAAGCATCGTTATTTATGCGGTCCAGCTGGCCTGGTGACCAAAAATCAATGAAAAACTCCTGCCTGCTAGCTAACGGTGTAGACACGCTTATCGCTTTTGGTAGCGTTATGCTTTTTTCTTTCGTTACCTTTTGCATTCACTTCTTAAAGCTAGCATTAATGGAGGCTAGCATTACAGGAGGCTAATCGACTGTATGGAGTGTGATTTTTTTCCGTTCACTTATATTTTTTTTAAATACATGTATGTAACTAGAAATGCATGTGTGTGTGTAACGCTGTTTTTTTTTGCATTTTCGTATGTTGTGTGTATTTTCCACTGCTCAGTGCATGAATGGAAACTTTCGCTTTATGTGCGATGATTTACTGGCACATTGATGCGGCTGCCGACCGAGTACACCACCTTGCGCTGTGGTGAGAAGTGGTTGGCAGCGCGGGTGGTTAGCATGTCGGCGTCAGTTGCATGCAGCAGGCAAGTCCATTATTCAAAAATTCTGCTGTGCATCGGCTGCAGTGGTAATAGTGTTGGCGTTGGCGTTGGCGTTAACTATGTTTTGGCTGCAGCACATTTTGGCCATTGGCCAACCAACAGTACGTCGAAGAGTATCGAATATATATATGTATGTATGTATAAGAGTTCATAAAAGCAGCAAACTATAGCTGAACTTGAAAATGGCGTAGGAGAAAAATGATAAATTAAAGCGATGGTGAGTAGATAAGAAGCTGTAGTATATTAAAGGTGATAGGAAAAGTAAATTTGATAAAGTCATTTATTTCAGGTGGGCTTCGTTTTTTTGGTTTCTGCGCTAATCGCATATCTGCTCTGTCAAAACATCTGCTGCCCTACGATCATTTAGTAGACTTCAAAGCTTTATGGCAGCGTGGTAGACAGGGGGTGGTATTTCTTGCAGGGGTTTAGCTGCAGAGGCTATAGACATCAACTGGCTGGCGTGCGCAACATGAAATCACATAATTGGTGGACCACTTTTCTTAATGCTTGCTAATATTTGCAAGGGAGCGTAAAACCTCTCCCTTTTTGAATAAAACGCATGCTTTGCTTTTGAGCTGGTTGAAGTTCGAATGTGGAGTTTTTTTATTTTTCGTCGGTTTTATTAAGTTTTACTTGACAACATTTAGAGAAAAATTGAATAAGGTAAACTTAAAAATATGTTATTTTATGAAAAAAAAAATTAAATTCTTGATGTGGTAAGTTTAATTAAAATATGTACGGGTTTTCAGTAATTAAATTCGTTTTTTTACCCAAAAAATAAGACTTCTTTGTTATTATTATTGTGTTGAAAAAATATAATAAAGAGCACATAAAAGTCTTGAAAGTGATGTGCAATGATAACATCTTATCTACGTTTATATTTTTTGTAAGGAATTTGAAAGGCGTTAATGCACGCACACCTCGAATTTTTGTATATAAAATTATTCAAGCTGTTTTCTGGAAAAGTTGAGTCATGTATGTATGTATGTGTATGTGTATTTGTTTAAGTTACATTTTTGTTTTTTTGTTTAGCTTCATTTTTCTTAATTTAGATTTTTTCATTAAATGCTAATATCCATGCGAATAGAATATATGTACTTAATCTTACGAAAGTTTAGTTTCTGCCGTAGTCCAAACATATGTATTTTTTTTTTCTTTTTTGGCGGCAGCTCCTTGGCTGCTTAGCTGCTTCGCCATAGATATCTTATTTGTAAGGTTGTAATTTACCAAAGGAAAAATTTTATAGAATTTTAATTCATATTTATTTATTTTTTTTTTTTAATCAATTTCGAATGTGGCCTTCGTATGACTCTACCATTTCCATTATTTCACTCATGCGATAAGCTTAACAATATCTAATAAGAATTTTCCACTTCTACTGCTAAACACACATTCATGCATAGGGAAGTATGTATAGTATGTATGTTTGTAACTATAGTCTAGTACACTATTTGATATTTGAGTACTAAAGAACTTATAGAATACTTAAAAATTTCGTTTAATTTCGCTTAAGAAAAGTGAACCTATTATGTATATTCTCTCATAACTTAAATACTTGCGGCAATATAAGGAGGATATTCAGAAAACTTAAATTTCTTTTATGTTGGGGATGTTCTTACATTTGCGAATATGTGTTCGATTTTCTTTTGCTATACAATTTTTTCATCTAATTCATTGTAATACTCGTACATACATTGTTTTTGAAAAATATCACATCAGTTTTTAACGGTTCTATTTTCTGTTTTTCTTTTACCATGTTGCTTCACATTTTTCAGTGCACTTAACTCTGGCTATTTGACAACTTCAGTTGTCCAACGCCGTGTATGTGTATGAATGTGTGTGAATGTGTATGAATGTGTGTGTGTGAAAGTGTATATGCCTATGGTGTGGTATGCTATGTTTTATACTCTAACAGTTATCTGCACTTTTGGCTGCGACAATTTTACGATTATTTTTATTAAATTCTTAAAATAAAAAAATAAAAATTAAAAACCTATTTTTTAATAAGATACAAAAGAAAAGCAAATTATGCACTATGGTTTTCGTTTTTGTTTCGTTCATTTTGCTATTGTGCTATTTCGTTTTTAGATTTTTTTTGTGTATGTATTTTGCTTAAATTTTGAGGATACCTCGGAGTTTTGAAAGGTACTTTTCGGTTGCGCTTGATTTCTTTTGTTTTTGCTTCTCGTCGATTTTCTTTTTTGCCTAACCTTGAATTTTGCTCTAGTAGTTTTGTATTTTTTTTTTTTACATGTGTGATTCCTTATTTTACTTTTATTGCAAATTCATTCGGTTGGTCCAGTAACGAAAACTAGTTTTGCTTTGCTTTTGTATGTTTGTGTTTATTTTATTTTTGTTTACTTTTCTATTTCGATTCGTTTCGATTTTAATACTTCTCAATTTAATTTCTATGTACGTATGTATGTATGTATATCGTTCGTTTAACATTAAATTTTTTGCTTTAAATTTCTTAGCGATCACAACAGTTTTTCACAGACGAGTGTGTTTTGGAAATTTCGCAAATTTCTATTTTTATGTATTTCAAAATATACTAAGACTTAAAATTAATAAAAGGAAAATCGTACATACGTAGTAGGTAATTAAATTTTAATTATAATTATAAATATCTTATTCTTCGTACATTCGATTTGGTAGTAATTGGTTGTATGTAGATACATAAATCATAAATTAAAGTTTCAAATGTTAATTTATTTTTATTTTATTGTTTTAGTTGCTTTTAACTAATTCATTTCATTTATTTCCACAAAACTTTACAACTGGTTTGGTCACTTTTTCTAGCCGATTATTTTGTGAATATGAATAGTAAAATAAAGAAATTTTTAATTGTCAAATTTTTCCTTCCTTCATTTTTTAAGTAATTTACTTCCTGGAATGGCACGTATGTAGATCCTAAATTTTCATTTTCCTATGTAGTTATTTTACTAGATAACGGCGATTTCGTATGTTTTGCTTGCGGCTACTTTTGTTGCTATTTAACCAGTTTTTGAAAGGCAGTCATAGATTTCAGTTGTCAATACAAAAATTTCACTATTTACTTCAAGTAATTAAATTTATTTAGTTTATTGTTCATTTAGTTGCAGTTGCATATAATTTTTACCATTTCCTTGTAATAATATTAACTACTAACATTCTAATGGATTTGTGATATTTTTTCAATGTTTTTAGTCAAATGTTACTTGGAAATCTCGGCTATATTGCATTTTACACATTGGAATTTGGCAGCATTGTTTCTGATATATAAATATTCCTTTGCTTTAACTCTTTCGTTTATTTAACTAGGTTCCTTTCACACGGAATTTATAATTTCGTGTATGTATTTTTCTATGATTATTTATGCATGTATCTTTAACACAATTAAATGAGATTCTTTATTTGCTTTCCTGCTAAAATTTGTTAAGCATTATGCTAATTGGAATTTCGAAAATGATTAACTTCAAGCTGGCCGAAGGAAGTTGCATATCAAGAGTTATATGTACATATCGCATACGATCTTCAAAAGTGACACAACTCAAAATTACACGTTCGTCAGAAAATGCTTTTGCTTTTTTACATTTATGAATATACCAACATTTTGCATTCCAACTAGCACAGCTTCTGCTACTTGGTGCAAATTATTCCGCTTGTGTATCGGTGTGAGTTTTTGTGTATATGTATGTATGTGATTAAATGTATGGTATATTTATAGTGTAAATAATATATACTTCTAAACTAAATTGTTTGTTAAATTAAAAATCACTTGTAAATTCCAAACAAATTTTTAATTTTCAGTTCTGTTTGCTATTTCGAATCAGTTCTGTTTCAGTATCAGTTTTAAGTTTCGTTTTTGTTTACATAATTATTTCATACATATTTAAATAGATTTATGTTTATGTAGGTATGTTTATTGCGCGTATTTGTGCCAATTACACGAGCTTTACTAAATAATTTCATTAGTAAATTTTTATCATTTATTCACTCATTGATACAAAATATAATTATAATTCACAATAATTTAGTTAAGTAGGTATAACTTAGGTGGTAGTTTGCATTTCGAATTATTTCGCTTTATTTTCATTTTCTTAAGGCATTTCATTTTAGCATCCATACGGGTAAGTTTCGTGTATGATTTCGATCAATTTTGATTTGATTGTATCTTTTCAATAGTATTGTATTCGAATTTTCAATTGCATTATTTTTTTGCTTGTTTGGCTTTTTCTTGTTCATTACTTTAAAAGTACGATTTGAACGGCGGTTAACTAGCATAACAGAAAACGTGAAAAACAATTGAGACAAGCATTAATACAATATAATTACTTTGTAATTAACAATATAAAAACAAATCACTTAGGAATATGTTTTCTCAAAGTAGAGGTATATAAGTTTGAAAATAAAATAAACGTAAAAACTTCATGAATTGTTAAAGAAAAATTTCGTAGTTCAGAAATTAACAAAACATAGAACAATTACCAACTAAGGCTTACAAAAAAAAAGAAATAACTAAACCTCCGTTTAATCTTTCTTTCATGGTTATGCACACTACAATCTATGATAATATTAATCATGTA